TAATTTCTAGGCTCTTTCCCATAGTTTACCCATGGTCTCACGCAAAAGTAGCAATTCAGCAAAGAATCACCCATTTTGGAGCTGGTTTACCGGTAGAAAAGTAGCTGAAATAAGCAAATTTAGAATTGGTTTACCCGAAGTAACGGAATGGTATACAAGTTCTTGGATTAATTAACATGTTGCGGCCCAACATTTTCTCAGGCCGATTATTGCGTATTGGCCCAAAATAAGCCCAAAAACTGACCTTACCCAGCTGACTTTCACCCCTAATTGAATGTCCAGAGACTGCAATGATACATTAAGGGAAGTTTGTTAAGGGCCCGTTTACTTCGCTGATTTGAATTTTTAATTTGAGTTGAGATGTGACTTTATGTGAGTTTTTTACTGTGGTAAAAAAGGTAGATGTGACTGTTTCTGAGAGCTTTTTACTGTAGCAAAACTCAAATTTTAAACTCGAATCGGTAAAATGAACAGAGCCTAAAATGATTATCCAATGATAAAATGCTCTTTTTTATTTTATGTTATTTTTTTATTGAGTGACTCACTTGTGGTGCAGTACTGCAGTTTAAAAAGGAATTGTGTAACATTATTATAGCTTTAATATGTAAATTAAGTTTATTCTTTTAACGAACAAATATTGGATTCACCAATGAAGATTTATGAGACACAAAGAAAAAAAATACTGAGAATTTGAGACTCAAATAATCGAGCACATTTATAATCGAGCACGATAAAAATTTGTTTGACAAAACCAGTCGATTGAGACTAAAAGATTTAGAGTATTAGGGTTAATCACAACACCACATAAGATCGAACCTACTAAAGAAACACAAGTTTCAATAGTTAGAACTCTGGACTAGCCAATAATACTAAATTATTATAGTACAAAAAAGTAAATTTTAAAAAATTAAGAAAACAAAAAAGGAACATAAACGCAAAATATAAAAGCAAAAAGGGATATTTATCTTTCTATATTTTCCATTTTAGGTTTATTCAAAATTATACCTTTGATTTTTTATCTCATAAAATTTATACATTCAAATTAATCTCCCGTTTATTTTACCGATTCGAGTTTTGCAACAGTAAAAAGCTTTCAGAAACAGTCACATCTAACTTTTTTACTACAGGAAAAGGCTCTCACATGAAGTCACATCTCAACTCAAATTAAAAACTCGAATCAACGAACTAAACATGCCATAAATGTAATACATAACTTCATATCTTTTCATGGTCAATCTCAATCCTCAATTTTGACATAAAAAATACTTAAAATGCCCTCAAATAAAATATCCTCAAATAAAATACTCTCAAATAGTGTTATTTTTACATAATGACCAAAATAAAAAAGACAATAAAATAAAAACAAAATTTAAACTTACGGTTTTACGAAAAAAAATATGCAAAATATCCTTGAAAATGGAGTTTTATGCTTTTTATTCTTTTGTTCTAATTTTTAAAGTTTTAGTTTTTTTTTTTCTTGCTCCCTTAAGAATAGTTTAGTCATTTTAAATATCAAAATCAATTGTTAATAGAGATAAGGTAAATATTTATATATTAAATTTAATTTGAAGATATAAATTTAATGAGATAAAACTCAAAGTATAATTTTTAAATAAATCTAAAATATAAGATATAAAAAGATAAGAGAATATTTATGGTGCATCTTGTACTCTTACTCCACCAGTGAAGTAATTAAAAATATTTTTTGACTTGATAATTAGTGGTGAAAAATGAAGGTTTATTATTGTTATAATGCAGATGCACGTATAGGATTTGGCTCTCCTTTAACAACTCATTTCTATTTGTACCTATTCATAGTTACTATTTGTACAGTACTTACTATTCATCTACGCAACTTTACGCGTTGCACTGCATGTTGTCAGAAGGTAGTGAGCAATCCACAATAAAGCCGTAATGCTTGACTTTTTCAACACTCCCCCTTAGATGTCCACCTATTATGATGCCTCATTAAAAACCTTGTTAAGGAAACTCAATGGGATAAAAATCATAGTAAAGTGAAAAAGAGTACACCATTTTATATATACGTATTTATGCTCCCTCGTTAAAAATCTTATTAGGAAAATCCAGTGAGATAAAACTATAATAAGAGAAAAAGAGTACAACCACGTAAACTCCCGCTCAAATTGACATGTATAGACCTTCCTTATAAATTTCGCAGATGATACATCTCGATACTGTGGATATGCTTTTTGAATGTTGTAGTGGGAAGTGCCTTTGTGAAAAAATATGTTTAATTGTCACTTGATCAAATGTATTGAATATCAATGTCCTTATTCTTTTCGAGCTCTTAGGAGTATGAGAAGAACTTTGGGGGTATGTGTTTCGTTATGTCGCTTTTGACGTAACCTTCCTCTATTTGAGCAATACATGATGCATTGTCTTCAAATAATACTGTTGGGTCTTTATTGATAGATAGTCCGTAAGTTTCTTAGATATGTTGAGTCATAGACCTCAACCATGCACATTCTCGACTTGCTTCATGGAGTGCAATAACTTCAACATGATTTGAAGAATTGGCAACAAGTGTTTGCTTTTGTGAACGCCATGAAACAGTAGTACCTCCACATGTGAATACGTATCAAGTTTGAGATGTGGCTTTATGTGGATCTGATAAAAATCCTACATATGCAAAACCAATCATCCCTTGCTTTGATCATCTAGGATAAAATAATCCCAAATCAAATGTTTCTTGAAGATAACAAAATATATGCTTAATTCTGTTCCAATGTCTTCGTGTAGGAGTGAGCCAAACCTTGCTAATAGATTAATAGCAAAAGCTATATTTGATAGGGTACAATTAGCAAGATACATAAGAGCTCTTATTGCACTTAGATATGGTACTTCAGGACCGAGGACTTCTTCATTATCTTCACAATAGCGAAATTGATCATTTTTAACATTAAGTGATCTAACAACCATTAGAGTACTTAAGGGGTTTGCTTTATCCATATTAAAACGTTTTAAGACCTTTTTAGTATAGTTTGATTGATACACAAGTATTCCACTTTGAAGGTACTCAATCTGTAAACCAAGTCAATATTTCATTTTTTCAAGGTCTTTCATTTCAAATTCATCCTTTAAGTATATCACAGCTTCTTGAATTTCTTTATGAGTTTCAATGATGTTCAAATCATCGACATAGACAACGATTATAACAAAACCGGATGTTGTTATCTTAATAAAAACACATGGGCATATTGGATTATTCATGTATCCTTCTTTTGACAAATATTCGCTTAAGCGATTATACCACATGCATCTGGATTGCTTCAACCCATATAATAATCTTTGTACCTTAATCGAATATATATCTTTAGGTTTTGAATTTAGTACTTTAGGCATCTTTAGGTTTTCATTATCAAGTGATCCATACAAATAAGCTGTAATAACATCCATAAGACGCATTTCTAAATTTTCAGAAATTGTTAGGCTGATTAAATATCTGAACGTAATTGTATCCATTACAGGTGAATATGTTTCCTCATAATCAATTCTGGCTCTTTGTGAAACCTTGTGCAACAAGTCGATACCTTACAATTTCATTTTGCGTTTTCACACAAAAACCCATTTGTATCCCACATGTCTCACGGCTTCAGGCGTTAAAACAATCGGTTAAAAAACTTTACACTTATTCAGCGAATTTAACTCAGCATGTATATCATCTTTCTATTTGATCCAATCGTGTCTATTTTGGCATTCTGAAATGGATCTTGATTTAGGATCTTTAGTTCTGTTAATAATTTCACATGCCACAGAGTAAGAAAATATTTCATCAATATTTTCCATTTCATTTCAATTCCATAATCCTCATGTATTTATATAGTCAATAGAGATCTCACTATTCTCAAACCCTTTAGAATTTTTTACAATATCAACAATCTCTTTATTTGTATTATTTTGTGTTTCTCTTGGAACACTTTCCTCCAAATTGGGGTCATTATGCTCATTTGCTCCCTTTCTTTTTTGAGGAATTTTATTTTTAGAACCGATAGGCCTACCACGCTTTAGGCTTGTTTTAGACATATTAGTGACTTCATTCTCATATTGTCCTTTTGGGATTTTAATCTAATCAGGAGCATTTGTAGCTGGTACATATCATTTAGTCACTCTTCTTGTATTAGTGAACGCATCTGGTAATTGATTTGCTAAATTTTGTAAGTGCATAATCTTTTGCACTTCTAGTTCACATTGCTTTGTGTAAGGATCAAGATGCAACAATGATGGTTCACACCATGTAATTTTCTTTTCCAGCTGTTTGTTTTCAACTCCTAATGTTGGGAAGACTACCTCATTAAAATGACAATCGGTAAAATGTGCTGTAAAAATATCACCAGTTTGAGGCTCAAGATATCTGATGATAGAAGGAGATTCATAGCCAATATATATTCACAGTCTTCTTTGAAGACCTCTTTGTGCATTGTGGTGGAGCAATTCGTACATATATCGCATAATAAAAAATTCTTAGAACACCATTTTTTTGACATTTTTTATTAGAATCCAATGAATTTTATTAACATGCTCAACAAGATAAACATCTAAAATCTAACAATATATAAAAGAGTCCAAGTTATTTTCTACATAATAGTCCCTCCACTTAACTTTCTTTTTTTCTCTCTTTCTTTAATTTTTGTGAATTTTTTTTTTACATTTTAATTTTTTTGTGTTTTAAAAATATGTTGTCCCTTACTCCTATGAGAATAATTTTTTTATATGTGTTCTTATTTTATTTTTGATTAAATAAAATAATTTTTAACTTAATTATTTATCAATTATTATTTTTACACATTTTTTTTAAAATAAATTAAAAATCCTTAAATGATTGTATAAGAGCAAGTTATAAAACTAGTAAAAATAAGAGGAACGTTAAAGAGAAAATTAATTAGCTACAAAAATTCTCACAATTTGTTATAGATAACGTAGAAAAAATATATATATACAAACTCACAAATAACAACACATCTGTTGATTCTTCCACCCGACCAAAATTCGAAGCCGTGAAGCGCATATTCTCTTTCCTTGAAATGGGCATGCATATCCATATCCTTAGAGCCTCACCAATTTCTTCTCCCTCCAAAACCATTATCGTCGACCCCATTACCAAACCCTTACCCACTCTCTCTAAGCTTCTCTTTCCTCCAAATTCTGTTCCCACCACTTTCTTCAGGACCCATTTCAGACCAAAACCGTTCACCGGCTCCATTCCCACAGTTGGGTTCGGTGGGTTTTTTCACCAGAGTAAGCGCGCGTTTCGAGGCGGGACTGTCGTAGCCATGGCCGCACCTGGGTTGGTCCAGAAGTCCGAGGACGAGTGGCGGGCCATCCTCTCGCCTGAGCAGTTTCATATTCTGAGGGAAAAGGGAACTGAGTAAGATCTCATTTTAATGTCGTTTTAGCGGTTTTGATGTTTTGATTCAGTTGTTTTGAGTGTTGGGATTCTTTTATCTTTTCTCTCTTTTGATTATTGTATTATAAATTGAGTACTTTGGTGTTTAGATAAGAAACTTATGATGCTTTTGAATTAATTTGGGTTTATGTTTACAAGAGCTTTGTTTACGAATTTAGCTTTCAAAGATTGAATCTTGGGTACGTTTTCTGTTATGGATCAAGTGCCTTTTTTTTTTATTACTAAATATAGTGATAATATGAAAGAAAAGGCAAGCAAGCACACAAGATTTTCATGGTTCACCCTTAATGCCAGAGCTAGAATTCTATTACGATGAAGAAGAATATTACAATAACAAGATTTTCATGGTTCACCCTGAAGAAGATTTTCAGGGCAACCGAAATATATGCGTTCTAATCCAGCGTCTTAAGCTCCATGCGCTCAACAATTTGTAGAGTCTTAACTTTCTATTAAGTAAAGCACAAGAGAGGTGAGAAAAATGAAGGAGAGGAAGATGAATAATGAGTGGTTTTCTAGATTTTATTGATGGTACTAGGTTGAGTTTGGGCCTTAGCTAAGAGATGGTTTGCTTTGGGATAAAACTGAGGTCATATTCTGTTTTTGAGATGAACATGAAGGAGGAGATTACGAACTACAATTTTCCTTTTAAGATGAGTATTTATATGTTAGTTTTGTTGTGTTATCACTTGGTAGGACATAGGCTACAAGAAGGTAAAGTTTGATCTGATTAGCTTGTGAGAATTGTCATTTTTGTCTCATTTGAAATATTGGCTTGGCATGTAACATGTTTCCATTTGCCCCTGCTTATCAGTCTGAAACTATGTAAGAGGAAGAATATTTGTAACAGCCATTTATATTTATAGTACTAGTTAAGATTTTGAGAGAATTGGAATTAGTACTTGTGTTATGAACTTGGTTGAAAATAATTTGCCAAAGTACTATGACCTTGCTCTTTCTGAGAAGACAAGTAGCCCTCATATCATGTCTCACACGCAGGGAGGATGAATCTTCAAAAGTCTCCTCTCCTGCTCCTCATATCATGTCACACACACAGGGAGGACGAATCTTCAAAAGTCTTCATCTTCTTCTTCTCCTTCTCCTACTTTTCCTTCCCATTCTCTTTCTCCTCCTTTTTTTTTTTTTTTTTTTTTTTAAGTGAGACAAAGAGAATCATCTATAATCTCTATATCAGAAAATTACATTTTGTAAACATCCTATTCACTAAGGGGAAGATTATATATAATTTTTGTGTCAATGTATTGCTGAAGAAGGAACCAAAATCCAAAAGAAGTTATTTGATTTTTGTTGCAAGGGACTGAGATTTAGCCTTTTTGGTTACCTGTTGAAGTTTCTACATAGATACGAAGGAAAACTAAAAACTTGTATGCGGCATCCAGATACCCCAGCACAGGTAAATATGACAAGTTCTATGAGGACGGAGTCTACAACTGTGCAGGATGTGGTACTCCTCTTTACAAGTCTACAACCAAATTCAATTCTGGCTGTGGCTGGCCAGCTTTCTTTGAGGGTCTTCCTGGCGCCATAAATCGCACCGTAAGCTCTCTTCTTGTCTTTGCTAAACCTCGTTTCCCCGTCTTTTGTGAGTCTCAATTCTGTGATATGCATGTTGGATCCAGTAGTTATTTAATTATGTTTATTTTTTTTTATCAGCCGGACCCGGATGGAAGGAGGACGGAGATAACTTGTGCAGCCTGTGGTGGTCATCTGGGCCATGTATTTAAAGGGGAAGGTTTTCCAACTCCCACCAATGAACGCCATTGTGTCAATAGCATTTCTCTCACTTTTGCTCCGGCGAATTCAAACGCTTCCTCTTGAGGCCTTTATGTAACATTAAATTTGTTCAAGATTTCAGATTGTCTCAGATTTGATGGCCATGTGATGTTGTCCAAATAAACTGATGCTGCAACTTCTGGAATAAATGCTACCATAGCTTTTCTGTAAATGTTCTGCTTTTGTTTGCCGCAACTTCTGTATTTTTTTTTAATTTTATTTTTTGAACTTGGGTTTTGAATTCTACAGCTTGTGGTTGAGCCACTATATAGTAATTTGATGTAAAATTAGAAGATGTAAAATTTATATTAATTATTATTTATCCTTAATTTGAGAACTATGAAATGATTTTTTTAGGTCTTCATTGACATGTTCCTTGCAGCAGCACCTATATGATAAGTTTTATATCGCTATGTACAACAGTACAAGTAAAACTCACTAAAGTCTCAAAGCGCGGGCGTCTTTTGGGGAATGCGGGAATAAAATTTTTTTTGAATATTTTGAAAATGGTATGTAACTGTTTTTTAAATTGTGTTCATTTGTTCTTTTAGAGAAAATTGTTTCGAGTTAAAACAATTTAGGTTTCGTTCATTTCACCGATTCGAGTTTTCAGTTTTAAGTTTTTACAGTAAAAAGCTCTCAGAAAATGTCACATCTAATTTTTTCTGCTACAGTGAAAAGCTCTCAGAAAATGTCACATCTCAGCTCGAATTGAAAACTCGAATCTGCGAAGTGAACTCAGAAAATGTCATATCTCAGCTCGAATTGAAAATTCGAATCCGCGAAGTGAACGAGTGTTTAGTTATGTTTCTGAAAATATATGTTGAGTATGTAAGTCCTAAAAAGTATCAGGGTTTGTTCGGTTATATTTTTGAGTTATGGTGACTTGAGTGTAGATTTTGAGTTGAATTTGAGTTATAATTTGAGTTGAAGTTGTAATTTGAGTTTGTGTTTAGATGTGCACATTTAAATTATGATTTGCATTGAGAATCTATTTGAGTTTGTGGTTGAGTGGGTCAAAACTTAAATTTGTATTTAGATAGTATTTTAATAAAAACTCAATGGTGATGAAAAATTTTAATAGGGTATATAGATGAGGTTTTATTCGTCTTTTCATTGTGAACGCATAGAAAAAAAATCATATAAAACAAAAAAGTTATAATGTTTTTAAAAATAAAAAAAAATTGTTCATTAACTTGAGTTTGAGTTTAAAAACTTGAGTTGAAAGGAAAACTTGAACTCAGATTTTAATTCCAAACTCAAATTAAGGCCTAGTTCACTTCACGAATTCGAGTTCAGATGTGATATTTTTTTAGAGCTTTTAACTGTAGCAAAAATGTTAGATGTGACATTTTTTGAGAGCTTTTAACTGTAAAAACCTAAAACTGAAAACTTGAATCGGTGAAATGAATAAGGCCTAAAACTCAAGTTTAAACTCAAATTTTACAAACGAATATGAGCTTAAATAAAATTGTAATTTAAATTTAAATTTTTTTTTGAATTTTACTTTAAAAAAACAAGCCCTCAGTCATTTTCAAAACATGAACACTATTTAACTAAGGGTATAAGAATTGAGCTCAAACCCGACTAACCCGTCCGACTTGAAAATATAGGGTTATATATATATATATATTTTTTTTTTAAAAAAATCGGATTTAAATAGGCCTAACCTGCAATGTGCGGGTTGGGCCGCGGGGCGGGCAACATTTCACCCGAGTTGCCCCGACCCGCTCGAGTTTGTAAGTGTAACCCTAAGTTTTACTTTTTCTTTTTTAACTTTATTTTTATCTCCTTGTTGTTTATTTTGTTGTCCTAAACTTGATTCTGATGATTTTTTTTGTTATGTTTTCTTCTCAAGATTTGTCAAATTCTGTTGCAACACATGAGGGGCAAGTTGGGAATGAATGTGCTATTATTCTGGATTAAACTGTTTGGAGTGGACTAAATTTCCTATTTTGCTAGACTATCTCTATATGGACTGTTTATTTGACGTAGTGTTAATTTTATTTATGGACTTTATTGATTGTTAAGAAGTATGTTTGATGTTATGTTAATGCTTATGGACTGTTTATGAATTTTATGCTTTTAGACTGTTAAAAGATGTATAAAGTCATATATTAAAATTGATTTTCACAAACCTGAGTAACCCGAGTCTACCCGAGATCACCCAAAAAGTTACGAGTTTGTGGGCTTAAAAGAGTATTGTGGCCCAAAATTTTTTAGGCCCGCACTGATCGAGTCGGCTTAATTTTTCGGCTCAACCCGACTTTACCCGGCCGAATTACACCCCATATTTAACAATCGTTAATTGAAAACAGAATCGATGTTACGGACCCGTTTTCTATTATACGTTTCGTTTCGTTTTCTTTTAAGTTTCGAACCACCATTGTTTCTTTCTTGCCCATTGATTTGAAGAATTTCTTTTTCGATTCGTCTCCAATACTGTAAATTTCTTTAACATGATTGATTTGATATCTGTCTACATAAAACCTGCGTCATTTTTGCACGAGCGATTTGATTTTTGTGTACATAAATCCTTAGAAAAATGACAAAAATAATAAAAATATTCTTTTGAGAACTCAAGTTTAGAACTTTAATTGAATTATGAAAAAAAAAAACTCAAAAATATTCTTGGAATTGTCCTTACCAGATTTAAAATATTTTTTCAGCCCCGGATAATCAAAGAAATATCCACGTTGGCACAATGTCAGCTTCTAACTTTAAAAAGAAAAATCCAGTCGTCGTCCTTGTCATCCATTTGGACTTTAAACAAAAGAGCCATTTTCCTTGCCCAAACGTCTTGTTTTCCTCCACAAGCACAACACTCTCAGACAATACTCACCATAATCCTCTCTCTCTCTCTCTCTACTTTCTCTCTCTAAGTTCCAAACCCATTGGGCTTAAACGTGTGCGTTTGTCGTCCTCACCCTGGTTCATGTTTTGCTCCCATTTCTTTTGAAGTCACAACTTCCCGAGAAAACTGGAAAAAGCAAAGGAAATATCCAAAAGGGTCAAACGTTCCAGTTTCTCTTGGATATCTGCGAAAAACCGTATCTTTCAGTAGCAAAACAGAGAATGCTGTTCTGTTTCTTAAATGGGGTTTTGTTGTTCCATGACTCATAGCGTTATGTTGGATTCTACACCACATTTCCATACCTTTAAGGTAAACCTTATTTCTATTACATTTTAATTACCCTATTTACTAATTTGATTTTGGACTATCTCATTGGTTCTGAATTGTTTCTTGTTGATGCAATTATTGTAATTTGCATTGAGAAAATTTGTTCCATGAGAATATGAAACCAGATTCTGCTCTTGTATGTTTGATGGCCTCAGGACAGCCTTTCTTAAAATGATGTTCATGAGTATTTTGCATCATGCATGTTGGTGGGTTTTTTTTTTTCAAATGATTAATGAGTTGATAATAGATTGTGTCAGCATTTGGTGGACCTTGTATAAATTTGGAGCCGAGAAACTTCTTTTCACTGCTGAGAAGTTATGTAACGTGCTTAATAATTCAATGGATTACGTTTTTTTTTTTTTTTTTGCCAAATTAATAAGGCTTATTGGAATAGGGGTAGGTGTCCTTACATAACCCCGGGGAGGCAATGCATCCTAGCACCGCCCCACTATGGTGGGACTGACTTAAATCTAAAACCTTACTAAAGAGAACGAGCAACCTTACCGCAAGACCAAATGACTGGTGGTTTACATTATGTTATTTATAATACAGGACAGGTTGCTTTCAATTAAACTACGAACTATTTGCTTATTTGATAATAGAGTGACTTGCTAGTGATGGGTGTTTATAAGGGAAACTGATTCAGAGGGTGAAATCAGTAATGAGTGGGAAATATTTGAGGATGGACTGGTTTGATTTTAATCCAACAACATTTGACCTAGTGAGAGAATAGGGTGATTAAGAATGGACCCTGTTCAAACAGTAAACCTTTTGCTAAACCTTGTGCTGAGCCTTGTATGAGGTTGTGCATCCTCTATTGTGAACCTTGTACATTCTTGTACAAGGTTGCCTACCAACCTTGTACAAGCCAAATGAACCTCGTACATGAACCCTGCACAAGCCAAAGCAACCCTGTTCAAAAAACCTTGTACAGCTCTGACCTTGTACAAGATGTATACCCAACAGTTTTATTCTATTTCAACCTTGTGCAAGAAAGCTGCTGATATCAACCAACCTTGCACGAGCTATTCCTTCGTGGCCTATAAATAGGCACCTCACCAAGCGAAAACGGAACACACGACAGAATACAACCATATCTCAGATAGATTTACCAACACCTTCTTTGTGACTCAATACAGTTCTTATAATTCCCGCAATATTATCTTGCTCTACTCTTTCTAATATCTGATTCTACACTTTGTAATATATGATTCTGCTATTGAAATCACAAGTTCTACATTAGTGGAATAACATTCCAATATTGTCATACTGTTTTTCAACCTTTTACCTTTTTACCCTTTATTATTTAAATGTTCCCAACAAACCCGGAACAATGGGCACGCTACTTGTGCCGTAATTCAACTCATATCTGCGTGTATGCTATGCATTTTAAGGCATTTGATAATTGAAATATAGCAGTTCATCAGTTATAGTAGATTTGCATGTGTGCATGTGTGTTGATGGGGACATTCTGGGTTGTGAATCTTATTATTGTAACCCAAATATTCTCAAGTTTTCATTACCTTGCAGGAATGTCAGGTTATCCACCAAAACAGCCCATTTTTGGTCCGCTCTCATGATATATCACGATGTGCTAGACATCCATTACATTTTATATATTCCAGTAGTCTGCAAAGTCGGTTATTATCATATGCCGTCAATTGCAGGACAAGTCATTGCTTGTCTTTTTCAAGAAACATATTTGAGACAAATCCTTTGCTGACCTCCTCGATATGTGGCCGGAGAGGATTATTCGTCTCTGACCATAGACCGGTCCACTGGGCAAGATCACGGATATATGCATCAATTGATGTTGCCAATGCCATTGATGTCATCAATGATCTAGGATTGGATACTTTGACATTCTTAGCTGTAACTGTCACTGTTGTTCCTGCATTCAAGATCGTCAAAGCTAGCCCTGTAAGAATAAAATTGATTCCTCAATTCATTTTAACCGTGTCTATTCGTTTTTTTTGTTTGATTTTTTTTTTTTCTGAAGGATGGAGTTTGGTTTATGTCTTTATCCGATCTATAACTTTACGAACAATCTTTTGTGACATTTTGTTAGATACTTGGTTTCTTCTTTGCTGGTGTTGTACTCAATCAGTTTGGGTTGATTAGAAATCTAACGGATGTCAAAGTTCTGTCTGAATGGGGGATTCTTTTCTTGGTAAGTTTTTTAGCCTGCCTCGTTTTTGCTGCAATTACCAAAGAAATGATATCCTACAATCATAAGTTTCAAAATACATGAGAATATCTGCCTTAACTCACGCTCTTATTCTTGATCATCACAAGTGCCTATTCATTATTATGCTATTGAGGATAATAATTAGGTTGATAGGTTCATGTGCTGAATACGGCGAGCCAACTAAAGAGAGCTGTCTTTGTATATATTGGCACTAATGTTTCTATCATTTCATAGTTTACCTTTTTGTATGTTTATACGTTAATTGCAATTTCAAATCTTGAACATCACTGAGAAGTAAGTTTACCTCCTAAAAAGAATGAAAGAGCATAGTATGACTAAGAATGCTTATTATCATTTCATGGCACTATATCCTGCTCAATATAGCTTGTAAAGATGGTATTTTTTTTTTTTTTTTGAGTTTTATGTTTGCCGTTTCAGCTTTTTGAGATGGGTTTAGAGCTTTCCTTTGCACGTCTAAAAGCTCTTGCAAAATTTGCATTCGGCATGGGATTGACTCAGGTATGCTGATGACTTTCTCATAAAAATGGCTGGATAAGAATTTATCAAAATTCTGACTTGTGCATTATAATGTTGGAAACTTTTTAATTTTTGTGCATTCTTAGACATGTTTGGGTCAGGTTGAACTTGATTAATGTGGACTAGTCCTTTATTCTCAATATCTTCTTACAAATTTTCTTGGTAGGGGGCTTTATGTGGAAAGGAAAATTTGAAAGAAGGAATCGGAGTCTAGGTTAGGCTACCAAACAAAAACACTCCCAAAAGTGATTGTGGATTCAAGGTATTTGGGAGAAAAGATGAAATTGTTTTATTTCATATGACACACTTTTTACAATCATTCTTTCTCTTTAAATAGAGAAGAGTCGAAGACCCTAATCACTCAACGAGAAATCCTTGTGATTCTTTCCTAAAATAAAAGAGAAACATACTTCTAATTATCCTAGAAACATACCTAATATAATTCTAGAAATCAGGAAACTAATTTATACATATTCAAATAAGGAAGATAACCGGATTCCTCTCCAATCACTTGGTTTTTTCCACACTCCCTCTCAAGCTGGAGAATATATATTAATCATTCCCAGCTTGTCTACTAGAAATTCAAAGTTTTGTCTTGATATTCCCTTGGCCAAAACATCAGCTACTTGTTGGGACGAAAGAACATAAGAAAGCTCCACTATTCCCTCATCAATCTTCTCTATGTCTGTCTATCTCCACATGTTTGGTGCGATCATGGTGAACTGGATTCTGAGCTATACACAAAGCTACTTGATTGTCACAATAGACCTTTAAAGTTAATCTATTCTCAAATCTCAATTCTTCCAAGACTCTTCTAATCTAAATTGCCTCACAGATTCCACGTGCTAGAGCTCTGAACTCAGCCTCTGTGCTGCCGCGAGCCACAACATTCTGCTTCTTGCTTCTCCAAGTAACAAGGTTTCCCCAAACCATAGTACAATAGCCAGATGTTGACCTTCTATCTTCAACTGAACCTGCCTAGTCAGCATCAGTAAAAGCTTCAATTTGCCTCTTATTAGTCTTTCCAAAGAACAAGCCTTTGCCTGGTGTCATTTTAAGGTATCTTAGAATCCGGTAGACTACATTGAGATGTTCTTCATAAGGAGAGTGCATATACTGACTCACAACACTAACTACAAATGCTATGTCAGGCGTGGTGTGGGATAAATAGATTAGTCTTCCAACTAGCCTTTGATATCTCCCCTTGTCTACAGGATCTCTGTTGAAATCCCGAATTTTAGGCTTAGAATCAGTTTCCGGATTTAGGATAAGTTGTTTCCTGATTTGATTTGATTCAGCAGATAACTTTCCTAATCTCTAGGCCACGATTTTAGGAGATTTGTTTTTCATAATTGTATTATAAATAGAAGCCGTATGTACAAAATATTTATTGAATAGAAAAACAGAAAGCATGATTCCTGCTTTCATGGTATCAGAGCCGAGGAATCTCTAACCTTGGCATTCAATGGTGGATTCAACGTCCTCAGCGATCACGGGCGAAACGGAGACGGCGGTCACCAACACCATGACGTCGAGTGGGTCCGAGAATTCCACTTTCCAGTTCACGGTTGAGAAACTCAATGGGAAGAATTTTCTCGAATGGGCTCAATCGATCAAACTGGTGATCGATGGAAAAGGCAAGTTGGGATATCTCACCGGAGAAACCAAGAAGCCATCCTCCACCGATGCCTCCTTTCAGAAGTGGAAGTAAGAAAACTCGATGGTAACCGTATGGCTGGTAAACTCGATGAAGCCCTCAATCGGAAAAACCTATATGTTTCTTCCTACCGCAAAGGATGTCTGGGATGCCGTGAGAGAGACATACTCTGATGTGGAAAACTCTTCCCAAATATTCGAGATTAAGACTCGGTTATGGCAAATGAAACAAAGGAAAGGGAAGTTACCGAATACTACCCAGAGATGAAGGCTCTCTAGCAAGAACTCGATCTGAGTTACGAAGAAGATTGGGAATGCCCTGGAGACAGCGTAAGATTTAAGAAGAGACTGGAGAGTGAGAGAGTCTTTGAATTTCTGGCTGGGCTCAACCGAGAATGAGATGAAGTGAGAGGAAGAATCCTAGGCCGAAGACCGTTTCCCTCAATCTGTGAAGTCTTTTCAGAGGTAAGACGAGAAGAGAATAGGTGCAAGGTGATGCTGAAACTCCCTACCTCCACTGTGCCGACTGGTTCTGGACTAGAAACGTCAGCACTGATGACAAAAAGTGGACCGAATGGACCATGCCAGAGTCAGCAAAGGAAAAAACCATGGTGTGAGCACTGTCACAAGACCGGTCACACTAAGGATACATGTTGGGAATTGCACGGGAAACCACCGGATTGGAAGCCACGGCAGATGAGCAAAAATCGAGGATATCAAGCCTCGGTTGATGATCAGAAGGAGAGGAAAACGGATGTTAATAGCAGCGAGTCTCAAGCAAAAACTCCATTCAGTCATGAACAGATGAAACAGCTTTACAAAATGTTCTCAAACTTCCAATCTACTGGTCAGTCCTCCAATAATGTGTCCATTGGTTCTCTAGCCCACAGAGGTAACTTTCTGAAGGCCCTGAATACTGTTTCCCAAAACAGAATTTCCTGGATTATCGATTCTGGCGCATCTGACTATATGACCAGCAATTACAAAATTTTTTCCACATACTCACCTTGTGCCGGCAATGTCAAAGTAAAAATTGCAGATGGTTCTCTCTCGACAGTTGCAAGAAAAGGGACAATTAAAATCTCTGATTCTGTAACCCTAGAATCTATTCTTCATGTCCCTAACCTATCTTGCACTTTATTATCAATAAGCCAATTGACAAAAACCTCCAATTGTTGTGCTAAATTTTTTCCCTCTCACTGTGTGTTTCAGGACCTATCATCGGGGAGGACGATTGGCAGTGCTAAAGAATGTGAGGGACTCTACTATCTAGATGAGGCCGAGGCGAGTGGACAGTTTCAAACTGCAATTTGCGATTCTGCATCTACTTTTAGGGATAGTGAAATAATGTTATGGCACTTTAGGATGGGCCATCCTAGTTTCCAATACATGAAACACTTGTTTCCTTCTATTTTTTCCCATAAAAGTATCATTGATTTTCAGTGTGAGATTTGCCAGCTTGCTAAACATCAACGTTCTTCATTTAAAAAAATCAAAGTACCAACCTTCTAAACCTTTTACTATGATTCACAGTGATCTATGATGTCCTCGTATATCTACTCGTACTCACACAAAATGGTTCGTAGCGTTTATTGATGATCACTCTAGGGTTTGTTGGGTTTACCTCCTAAAAGACAAAACATATGTCCGTGAGGTGTTCAAAACTTTTTACTCCATGGTCCAAACACAATTTCAAACTAAAATCCAAATTTTGCATACAGATAATGGGACGGAGTATTTTAACACTATCTTAGGAGAATTTCTCATGTCAAATGGGATTATTCACCAGAGTTCATGTGTCGACACTCAACAACAAAATGGAGTTGCCGAACGGAAAAACAAACACTTGCTTGAGGTAGCCCGAGCCTTGATGTTCACTGCCCACATGCCAAAAATGTTCTGGGGGATGCCATTTTGACATCCGCCTATCTTATCAATAGAATGCCCAGTCGAGTCCTTTCGTTTGATACTCCACTCAACACCCTTAAGAAAGTCTTCCCCACTATTCGTTTACGCTCAAATTTACCTCTTAAGGTGTTTGGCTGCACCACATTTGTCTGTGTTCACTCTCAAAACCGAAGTAAGCTAGATCCGAGAGCCACTAAGTGTGTTTTCATTGGCTATTCTCCTACACAAAAGGGCTACAAATGCTTTGATCCTTCCACAAAAAGGGTATTTGTTAGTCTTGATGTTGCATTTTTTGAAAACACTCCTTTATTCCGAAAAACTTCTCTTCAGGGGGAGATTTCTAATGAAGATCGTTTTGTGGATTTTGAACTTCTTCCTTCCGAGTCTGTCTCAAAAACCGAAAACACCACCCTTCCTCCTTCTCATTCTAATATGCCATATACAGAAGGACATTTGAACTCAGGGGGAGATGTGGGAATGCAAAGGAACAGGGAGTGGCTAGTCTACTCAAGGAGAAACTAGAAAGCCTCACTTCTGAAGCACCGAGAGAGTCGAACCCGGTGATAGATCCAGAAGTGAATGAGTTAATCACAGAAAAAGGTACTCCAAGTTTGTGTCACACAAGAACTTCTGGTTTTCGAGCATTTGTCTCTAACCTCAATAGTGCAGAAATTTCGAAGAATATACAGGAGGCACTAGCCGTGCCTGAGTGGAGGAATGCAGTCATGGAAAAATGAGAGCCTTGAAGAAAAATGAGACTTGGGAGGTAATGGAGCTGCCGAGAGGGAAGAAGCCAGTAGGTTGCAAGTGGGTGTTTACCCTGAAATACTGAGCCGATGGAACAATAGAACGATACAAAGCTCGTCTCGTTGCCAAGGGTTTTACGCAAACTTATGGCATCGACTACACCGAAACATTCGCTCCTGTGGCAAAGCTAAATACAGTAAGGGTCCTCCCATCATTGGCATCTAATTTGGATTGGTCACTTCACCAACTTGACATAAAGAATGCTTTCTTGAATGGAGAATTAGAAGAGGAAGTCTACATGGAATTACCTCCGGGGTTTAGTAAAGGGCAGGAAGAGAAGCAAGTATGTAAACTTAAGAGGTCACTTTATGGTCTCAAGCAGTCCCCAAGAGCATGGTTTGACAGGTTTGCCAGAGTAATAAAGAACTAAGGATATCTACAGGGACAATCAGATCATACTATGTTCTTCAAACAAGCCAAAGATGGGAAGAAGACAATCCTAATAGTCTATGTTGATGATATAATCCTTACCGGTGATAATGAGGCAGAAATGGAAAAGTTGAAGAGGATTCTCGCCACAGAATTTGAAGTAAAAGATCTAGGGCGAATGAGGTATTTCTTGGGAATGGAAGTTGCTAGATCAAAGAAAGGAATCAATGTCTCCCAAAGGA